CCAATGAACATGATATATTAGCTAGCAGCAGTTATTGAAAGAAAGACCTTTGTTGACTTTTTTAAGAAGGAAAAATGTATTTGAAATATAATATTGTAAAAATGTAATATTTGAACATGAAGATTGAATTTAATACAGATTCTAATTTATTTTACATCCTAATATTTACTTACATTTTCTCTTAGTTTTGCTTAAATTAACACAGGCTGATGCTTTTTCTTAAAAAAATCAATCCCACAACAACATGAAAAATTTGATGTATGTTTACATTTTTTAAATTATATATAACCAAAATTTAAATGAGCAAGCTTTGGCTCCACGAAGGGAAAAAATATATATCAGTCTAAGAAAATGTTCTTACAAACAGTGAATCTTTTTGGCTTTTGTACTCGGGTCCTAAAACTTACAATACAGAGATTATAACATCGCCCAACAATTTGTGCTGACAGTGAACTTTTGACCATCACTCTAGCTTTAAATGTTGTGTGTAGGTGTATTTAATTTGTGCAGTCACAAAGACTGAAAAGTGTTTACTCTGTCAAAGTCAGAGAGGAAAACAGCTTTTATTTCTCCCCTAAATATTTCATGTTGCACTGCAGTGGTTTGGAGTATGTCACAAAAACGCACCAATCCATGAACACACAATTAATATCAGATCGTTTATTCGCTTTCCTTTTCATTCTTAATTACCCCGTTTCTTAATTCCCCCTGACACTGTCGTTGTGTTTATTGGAGGGTTGCAGGGATTCTGTTCTCTTCGATGGTGAGACATTTTTGATGGAGCCAAAAACTGTGAAAGCTTTTTGCTTGGAAAGAGCTTCTTTGTGTGCTTATGAACCGTGTACTTGGCCCACTGTTCTTATTCTGCTGTGTGTCTCTCTTTGAAATGAAATTTCTCAAACATCCCTACTTATCAAAAGGCTTTTGTACAAGGAAGCCCATTTTGATCAGACTTCCTCAGTCCAATCTACTTCAGTCCTTTGTGTGTGTGTGTGTGTGTGTGTGTGTGTGTGTGTGTGTGTGTTGCTTTACTTTATCCTGCAAATCAGTTTTGATTTAAAATTCTTATGGAGGTTAAATAGATTTTTTTGCAGTTATTTGTCACTATAACCGATTTAATATTTTTCCCCAAAAGGTAGTCATTAAATTATGTTTCTACCTTGAAAGCACTTTGATATAAATTCTTTAATTTTATATTGGTTACATTATTTATGTTGGTTATTTTTAATGCGGTTGGTTTATCAAAATAGTTTTTGGAATTCTTCAAAATGCATTAAAAACAGCAGCAGTGTTTAAAATTAAATGAATTTATTGATTCCCACAATTTGTAAGTTTTTGTCATTACACGGTGCTAAAAGAAGCTTTATCTTGTGGTCATGTTGGAGATAAAAAGTCATTTATTTTAGCAAAGGAAAATGATGACGCACTGTCTCTAGTTAAAAAAAAAAATGCAAAAGCTAAAGATGATGATTATGGCAGGTTTGTACATTGAGTTATTGATCTGCTAGCATGGTTTGTTCTGGGTAATTAAGCTGCGAGTGTTGGTGGGAATTGATTGTTGAAAGTTTAAAAAAAAAGAACAAAAAGGTCAGAATGAACACATCAGTGTCTGTTCTGCTACGCTCCAAGAATCTGAATCAATGGAAAGATACGTGTGAACGATTGAATGTTTACTTACAGCACTGATATCACGAATTATTACTTAGTAGGAAAAAAATTGTAAATATTGTATTTCACCCTTTTTGGGAAACTGGCTTTTCAATGTTGTCTTTTTCCCCCCCCCCAAGGAAAAATTGTTTCATCGTTACTCTTTTCGTCCCACTTTGTCGGTACATCGCTGGCTTTCTTAGCCATCAAAAATAATGCATCATAATAATACAAAATAATATTTGTAAGAGCCGAGCGCTGGAATATTTGATCCACTCTGATTTTTATAAAAAGGCGTAAATAACTGTGAGTTAAATTTCAAAATTTGAAACCATTTTATCGATTTTTTTCTTGGCAGGAGAAATAAATACAAGGCAGTTTCTGTGAAAAACACACAATCGCTGCCCCACTTTGTGCCGTTTTACTGAGGTACATGTTCAGTTTTGCCGTTGAGTTTTTAGGTAATTGCAAGCAGAAACTCAAGGAGCCGACAGGCTACTCAAAACAAACAGAAAATAATGCAAGAAGATGCTTCTGGAGAAATATATTTTTGTTTAAACACAAAATGGTGGGTCTGCAAGGCGCATGTACAATACATGTAGGACCCCAAAATGGCTCCAAGTTCAGCAACCAATGGTGTGCCGAGTTGCCCCCCAACAACTGCCTATCGGCAGCCCGGTCGGTGGTTTACTACACCTTATAGCGGTGCATGCTGATAGGTTACTGGAAATCACACCCGTGAACCCCATTGGCCACAGCGCGGAGATATTCGACAGTAGAGTTACTAGGCTGAACAGCAGCGTTGGCACCGTTCATACCCCCAACACGGTGCGTCTGCCAATCACGAACCCCGGTGAAGAGTACTGCTGTTACAGTGAATTACTTAGGGGCCGGGACACGTGATCGCTGCGCTCGGGAATTATGGCGCGTTATACCTCTTTCTTCAAACCACCTTTTCACCCATCTGGTGCCACCCTGTCTTACAGAGCTTGACAGTCCTAAAGAGTATTGAGACGTCTGGTGATTCAAAGATACCGTGGCTCCATTGAGAGTGGCTCTGCCTCACCACACTCCAAGCCAAAGCTGAGAATGGGGACGCCATGTGCAGTTTCATGGTCCCCGGTGGTGATGAGTTGTTTCGAGGGCGCTCACCAGTCCACCCTAAAGACACCATAATTAGCTTTTCCATCAGGCATTCAGGTGTATCTGCATGGCTCAGGGGGAGGCGGCCATTGTTTCCTGACAAGTGGACTTCTCCGTTTCCCCCTCTCACTTTCTCTATTCTGGATGGTATGTGGTTCGGCTGATTAGAGGTGAGAGCCATATCGGTCGCTGGAAATTCACTAATGCAAACTGCAAACTACTGTATATTCGCTATTCACAGCCCATGCCCACACAGTAATAAGATAGCTGGCCGACTGACAAGCAGCAGTGGAGTGGAATGTGGAGAGTGGAGAGAGATGGATGAAAGACAAGGCAAATGGCAGCCTTTGTGTTTACGTGCGGGTGTGTATGGCTCGCTCTAACCGTGCAGCTGTGCATCCAGACGCATTGTCCAAAAAAAATTGCATCTCATTATTTCTTCCCCCATTTAGTATTCAGCAAGTTTAATAACTTGGTCATTCCCTTTCTGGCCATTAATTCCTTGATGCGATAACTCTGAAGGATGCGCCGCTCGGAGAGAAAGGATTTTTACCAAAGCACGCCTCTGAATCGCACCTTATTTGTCATGTGTCTTTATACTGTATAATTTCAGCTACCAAATTAATTCAGAGCTGAGCTCCCAGTGTCAGACAGGAGAATGGAGGGAGCTAAATGAGTAGATATTCTAGCCAAAGAGAGGGGCGAGTGTCATTCCAGGTTAATTAAATCCCAGCTTTGAGGCGTGAACACAGACCTCTTTCGGGAAAAACGAAAGAAGAAGAAGAACTCTTATTTCATCTCGTGTGTCACCGGTACGATCATAAGTCTGATCGTTGTCCCACATCTCTCAGCTGCGCAGCTGCGTTGAGCACATGTTTGTTCATAAACACGCGCTTCTTGGGCTTGTTACACATGTCGTGATTGACAGGTGACTCACCATTTCCATTGTTCAGATCGCTTTGTTTGCAAAGGTAGCGTGTGCAGATTGGCTCCGAGAACGAGGAGAATTTATCTCCTTTCTTCATCTAAATCATTGTATATCTCTCACTCTTAACGGAGGATGTAGCAGACTGTGCTTTGTACCAAACAAGTGTTTACTATGCCTCACAGGCTCTGTTATTGCTAAGGCAACAGTATAGAGGGCGGCTCTCTCGTCCCCCCCTACTCCTCAACCCACCCATAATCATGATGTTCCACATTATGGTGCCTGTTTGGCTCTCAGTGTTCTCTTTTTAGTGGCGTTCTCGATAGGAGATTAACAACGCAGCGGTGTTGGTTATCCCTCCTAAAGCTGTAGAATAAGTTGCTAGCCTCCCGCTGATTTTCACTCTCAGCAACCCCTCATGGTGCCTCATTAAGATGCAGAGAAACGAGCGCCTCCGACCCAACGCTACAGTAAGGCCAGGCTTAAACGAGGCGCTGCTACACCACAACTCACACTGTACAGCGGCCTTTAACAGCACAACGGTTTGCTCCACGCATGTTTCCTCAGTGGGTTTTTTTTCCTTTCCTAGTGTTTCTTTCCAGAGATGAAGACAAGCATGGGTTCGGGTGGGTGGGTGCATTTTTTTTTTCTTTTCCTTGGACGTTGTGTGAGAGAAGGGCGTTTTGGGGGATTTGGGGATAAGCAGTTGTTCTCTCAATGAGCAGCATTTGAAGGTCAACTCCTCTCCGACTAGGACATTAGCGAGAAGCCAAAGAATTTTTATTTCAGTATGATTTAATGCACTGACAGTGTTTCTGTTTTCAGCCTCTGTTAGAAGCTTTTCGGCCTCTCTCCATTGAAGTTCTTGAGCTGCAGTGTAAATTTGCCAAAGTCAAACACAGTCAAGCAAGTGTTTCCTCATAATGATCCGTGTTTCTGATCTCATTGCTAGCTCTGTTATCCACGAGCATGCACATTCCTTGGTACACTATCCAATATGTGAGCTCCCTGTTCTGCTTCCTGTTTTTAGAGCCGTACTTTGCTTTGATTCTGCTGAAACGTTTGTACAAATCTTTACTTCTCTGTCATTTTAATGAACATTGTTTCTTAAGACTGACCGGCAAGTGTCGTGTTCTACAATCTGCACTTTTCAGCGTTTGTTTCGTTTTTGCTTTCCTGTTGCGTTGCTGTTTTTTTTCTGCACATGTATGTTCGAAAATGAGAGAGAAAAGAAAAACTCTAAACCCAAATGTGGCATTGTCTGTTTCTTTTTCTTGTTCTACAGAGATGTTGAAGGAGTTGAACCAACAGCGCAGAGCGAAAGAGTTTACAGACCTGAAAATTATTGTTGAAGGCAAAGAGTTTGAAGTCCACCAAAATGTTCTAGCTTCCTGCAGCTTGTATTTCAAGGACCTGGTGAAAAGGTTTGCCTTCGCTTCCCCACCCCCTTACCTTCCACCTTTCCCCCCTTTTCCCACCAGCTGTTGATCCAATCTGTTTTTTTTTTCATAGGGCGCATTTGTGTCGCTTTTTTTCCCTTCCCCTCTCTCTCTTGCAGGTGTGTGAAGACTTTGGTTCCTAGCACAGGGCCAGCAGCCATTCCTTCCTCTTCCCACTCAAATGAATGTATCTGAAAGTGGAGGGAAAAAACAAAGTCCCCCCCCCACACACACACACACACTCGTCATTACCTTTCCTCCCCATGTAGGGCAATTTAACCACATTTCCATTTTAACGAGCACTGAAAATGTTCCATGACTGGGAATGTTTTAAAACTCACCAAAGGGCCAAAACAGAAACAAAACTCCACGTTGGGTGGCCGCACTGTGAGCAGAGGGATTGTTGCCTCCCATGCTACTATATTTTTCCGTTTCTGATTTCTTGAGTATTTCAGAACAGCCTTTTCATATGCTAATACACCTTGGTTAGAGTGATATAAAAGACATTTCAGAGTCATAAAGGACGAGACAAAAAGCACATCTAAGACCACCACTTTCACAGGTTAACACCATCCTTCACTAATGTATTCATTTGATTTTGATCCAAGTATTCCCCCAGTGTTACGCCCTTCGTACTGCATACTTTTTTTGTTTTTGATTCCGGCTTCACGGGTGTGTTTTCGTTTCGCCGCTCAGCATACTTGTGCATGTGTGTTGTCGGTGTGAGTGTGCGTCAGGTGCAGACCGCTTTAATCTCTCTGTATGTGTTTGCGCATGCATGTAGTATGACTGTGTAAAGTTTGATAGCACGAGCATCTGCATTGTTTTCCTGGAGAGGTAATACCATGAATCCCTAATGTCCTCCTCCTTACTTCACATCCTTGCAGGTGCTTTCGGCATAATTGAGAGTCCCCTGGACCCAAAGTTACTTTGCCACCTTGACGTTGTTTTTGAGTGTGTGTGTTTGTGTGTTTGTGTGTGTGTTCTTGCTCGCATGGCTAGGGATGAAGCGCTCAACAAAGACAAGCGGTCGCGAGCGATAGCTAGAAAGCCTTAGAGAGGTTTGCCATTTTGCCCCGCAGTCATGCTGCCTCCACAGCGAGGCCATCAGAGAGCACAGAAGCTGCTTATCTGCTGCCGCGGCCTCCTTGCTCACCACCGATACACTTGTTCCTCCTGAATGAGGATGGAGCGAGGAAGACCAGAGAGAGACCAGAGGTAGAAAAGCAACAGAGCCACGTCTGCGCCAGCACCACTCATCTCCATGACAGCCACACATCCCATGAATAAAATACAGACACAGTCTGCCTTTGACCTTGACAATAGCAGAGAAGCTTCCTGAGAGACCGGAGTGACTTTGGATAGAACTGAAGCCCCCATGCTGGTCAACCTGTCTATCAGATTGTCTCGTCGGTGGCTCTTATCTGGGACATAGCCAGATCATTTATGCACTAAGACAGGGGCCCTGAAAGACACCCAGGGCTCCCAGAGGATCAGGCTGAATTTCATCAAGCTCATCTTTATGCCTGCTGCTGCCTGCTTTGTCTGATTTTTCTTTTTTAATTTGACAGTTTAATAGAGTAAGTTCTCATTAATTGGTTAATTAATTGTAAAACTACTTTGATTTATTGTCATAACACTGTCATTTTTCATGAGATAATGTCTAAAATAGAAATTCTCTCATTTGACTTGAGACTGAAGAATATCTAATGAATTTGTTACACTAATTGTTAATTTTGGAAGACGTCTTTGCTTTGATGTAATGAAGTCATGATCATCAGCGCTACGTGAACATGACGCCGCAGCTTCCCCGAGACAGTCTTTGATTTTATAAGACACGTGGCACCTTGGTTTTATGGAAATGCGAATCGGCAGGCAGCGAGAAGTTGACAGGAAGGGGAGAGAAAGGGAGCACAAACAAGAGAATGAAAAGCGTCTAAAGAGCATACAGAGATTTATTTATTTTTTTTTTTTGATACTTGGCTTTGAGGCGTTCGCAGCAAGTGACGCAAGCTCGGACAGAGAAGAGCAAAGAGAGCCAAAGGCCCGTCTGTCATCGAGTTAGGGCCTCCCATGTGTCGCTCAGCTCACTTTCTGGGATTACGCTGATGCCGCACGTGGCTCGGTACTGTCCACGTCTTTATGAGGTCAAACGAAGATGGGAGAGAGAGAGAGAGGCTTCTTTGATGCCGTGTACCCCAGCCTTCCTCGCCCAACTCATTCACTACGGCTCAGATTCCTGCCTCCTCTCATAAACCACCTTTGTGTATGGGTGTGTTTGAAATTGTGAATCCGTACGTACTCAAATGGACTTGACATAAAGCGTGCTGCTGAAGTTTTATCACGCGTGTGTGTGTGTGCATGCGTAGGATTCAAGGACATAATATCCAGGCACGCTGTATTAGTCAGAGTAGTAGAGATGTAATACTGTAGGGTGAGGGAGTGCACATCACACTTTTTTTTGGCCCACCCACACACACGCACGCACGCACGCACAGACACCAACCCAGTGACTTATTTACAAAATTAAAGCGTCTCTTGGCACCGTGTCAGTATTTTGCAGGCTCCGCAGCAATTTGAAACGGTGCTGAAAATGTCACTAAAAAAAGAAAACCACACATTATCCACCTAAGTGGACTACAAATACACTGATTAGTCTTCATTTCAAATTCTCTTTTCAGCAGAATCCTAAAATGTCTTTATTTCCTCTTTGCAGCGTGCTGCTCCACTGCCCACCCTCACCCGAGCAAATCAGCCTCCCGTCCCCACCCCACCTTACCTGGAGGATGTAATGCCGCTTGGAAGTGTGAGCACACGCTTGCCCCTTCCAAAAACCCATTACGTTACTCTTTTAAAGGGCCAATGCACCTAGCGAGGAGGCAGATCATCTCTAGTAATTCCATTTTACCCCACGGGATTTTCCAATAAACGTGCTCGCAGGCATTTAATTTATGGCCACTGCATCCCAGCACCACACTAATGTTAAAAATAAAAAAATAAATATTAAAAAAAAGCTCCAGAATCAGCCGTGATACATGTTTTGGTGCCATCTGCTTCCCCGCTCTTCTTCTGTCAGTGTTGACCCATGAGGTTTTTTGTGCCACTCAGAGCACTCTGACTGTGATGGTAGGGGGTTATTTTAAAGCCCATTACTGTGTGGACGCTGTGTGAACTCTGCAGCTCGGTGTGCACGCTTTAGCCCTCTGCAGCACCATTCGCTCAGACGGGGAGACAGGTTACTGTAATACCCCATTTTTGTTTTGTTTCTTTAAATATTTCGTACGGCATCTACGCGAGTAAAGGCTTTGTTTTGTTTTTGTGTTTTGGGTATTGATTCGATAAATCGTTACTTTTTAATGTTGCTTTCTTTTTAGGTGACATGTGTAACTGAAAACCAAATTAAACACACACGATTGCATTCAGGCTTTTTCACCTTATGTTCATTCAAATAATTCAGAGAGCATGTCAGCAGTTTTTATTGGACCTACTTCTTTTTTTTCTCTTGGCAGAAAGTAGTTCCAATGAAAAATGTACAACAATGGAGTCTTTAGAGTCTGACATTCTTGGAATAATTGTTACTTTGTGACCACTGACAATATGAAAGATGGACATGGGTACAGTGACGTGCCCTTTTTAAAGCTTTGAGATGAGCCTACTCCATCTTTTTAAGACCAGCGGGTGGAGCTGACTGTGCAAGTGCACACTCATTGGCTGACGTGTCGTCAAATCTCGTTTCTGACACTTAGAATGACCCAAATTTACAAAATGGACTTAACGGTTTATTCACAATGGCTAAATTGAGAGACTGAGTCCATAAACACACCACAAAAGTCTTTATAGAAGTCAAGTTCGAGGGATGTTTTCTCGTTGACCTCTATTGGACTGGAAGTCTCTTTTCAACCACACCGATCGCCCCCTGGTGGCCTTTGAAAAGACTGCAGGTTTGACTCGCTCAGACGTTGGCTTCATTTTTCGGACCTGGAAGCTACATTATCTTTTATAGTGTGTACGTTTGTGAGTTTTCAGCACTGTCCAAATTATAGGTTTAATTCTGACTAATTCTAACTTCTCGAAATGGAAAGTGAAATCGTGAAATTGAGATGTTTTAAAAACGGTGAGACCCTGCTGAAGTCTTTATGCCAAAAATTTTATAAAATTGTAAATGTAATCTGGAGCTCTGCCATAGTGGCACTGTCAGAGATTCTTTTTGTCATCTTCAAGTCAAGTTTTTTATACCAAGAGTCCTGTCAATCTGGTGTCTACATTTAGGTTTCTGTGTGTGTGTTTTTTTTCTCGAGTTGATGGCCCCTTTGTTCACACTTGGATGCACGTGTCAGCTTTCATACTCTCCACCTGTCACCGTGTCCTTTTTGTCCTTCAGACGATCTAACACATATATGACTTGTTCCTTCCAAGTGTTATGGATGCAGCGCCCTTATAATCCATACCGGAAAAACCAGCAGTCCCAACGCCGACACAGCCACGGCGTTCTGTTTATTTTTACAATTTTAGTCCTGATTTATGTTGTGACAACACGTAAATACGGGCCATTTTTAGCCAAGACACTTTAGGTTGTGGTTCTGAGTAAGCTTCTGTGTTAACATGTCTTGGTAGTGCATATACTCCCACAGAATAAATGATCTTGTAAGAACAAGCTAAATGTGTTCCTTGTAAATGGGCTTTTTTTAGGCTGAAAGATGTATTAGAAATTGTGTGTGCTAGCACGTGTGTGTGTGTGTGTGTGTGTTTTCCTGTTTCCTCCCGCCTCTCCGCCTCTGCTCACCACCATTTTGACACTCTCTGCCGTTTTTTTTTAACTTCCTCTTGAATAAGTGCTACATTTTTCATAAACAAATTTCTTTGCCGGAGTGTGTGTCTGCGTGCGCGCGCCCATCTCCCCCCTCCTTCCTTCCCCACCTTTTCTTGCCCCGTCTCTCCTCTTCTGTCTCTCCTGTCCTCCCTGCCTCCCTTCCTCTCTCACTATTCAAATTCAAGTCTGCAATCAAACGCGGCATAAATATCCACCTCTTTTTAAGAAGCTCCCGGAAAAGTCATTTCCATAACATAAGTGCTCAGACAAAAACAAACTGCCACTCGAGCTGGTTCCTATTGCACTAATTGACCAGGTTGATGAGCATGCTCTTCTTTTATTTTTAGCTCTTTCCCACCCCTCTCTTTCTTCCCGCCTCCATCCATCACTTTAACCCTGAACAACCCTCCCCTTTCCCATCTTTCCGTCTTACTACCTGCCCCCCACCCGCCCCCCCTCCAACTGCAGGGCTTTGTGCAGGAAAAAAAAACACGGGGGGGGGGAATAACACTATGTGGCTTTTTGCTTTGCAGGAGGAAAAAGAGTAACTGCCTTGGTTTTTCCAGCCAATGTCCATCCAGGGACAAATGCCATTGTCTTTTCTTTTATTTGGATGTCCTTCTCCCCCCCCCACTCCCACCCCACCCCCACCTTTCACCTCCTGAGTGCGCTTGAAAATGACAACTAATGTCTCAGTTCATACACCACAGGCTACTGGTGATTATTACGCCGGGGACAGAGGCTCTGTTTAGGTGTGACGGTGTATTTATTTATTTTTTTTCCGGGGGTGGGCGGGGATATCTCTTATTTAAAAGAGCAAGGCACAGTCATGGAACAACCCAAACTCTCCCCCTCAGAAGGATGGCTGCTGGCTCCCCTGTGGAAGAACCGTCTCACCCTGCCTCCCTTTCCTTCTTTTTTAATTTTTTTTCTGCTTCCCCACCATCGCACCCCCACCTCCCCCCCTCCACCCTTCCAATCTCTCATCTCCACTCCATCCATTCTATCTGTCTCGTGTAGTTTGTTTTTGCTGTCTCTGTCTCACTAAACGCTGACTGTTTGTCATGATTTCTAATCCAACCAACTGACTTCTACACACACAAAAAAAGGAGAGGAAGAAGAAGGTGGAGGGGGAAAAAAGGGATCAGACAGACACAGAAGCAGACAGAGCGTTATCACAGCGCTACCATGACTGGCAGAAGCAAACAGCCTCCATCCATCTTAATGCTGGCTACTTTTCATATTGTTGATGTCCATATCCGCTGGGAGCGAGACACAGCAGTGGGGGCATGCATTCTGCGGGGCTTTGATTCCATTTATTTTGCCCTTGAGTGGATTATTGTTTCACATGGGACATTAAACATGGGTGGTGAGGTGTTATTTAATGCTCTCATACCTCCCCGAGGGGATCCTGCATGCGAACTAATCTCGGCCATTTGATCCCGATGAAGTCACAACGTGGCCCAGTTCCCAAAACGGCCCTCGTTGTTCCCCCTCTCTCTTTCTCTCCAGCACTGCATTACAAAGGGATATCATATTCTATTTAATTTGTCCATCTAAGCTCTCGCCCAGCACCTGCAACGTCAGTCGGAGTAGACGCGCCGCTTCGATGACCTGCGCGCGCGCGCGCACACGCAGGCAGCCGCGCGCTCTCTGCGGCAGCGGCGTGACTCGTAAACTGCGCACTCACGCTTTAACCAGCTGACTTTCCTATTCCATTATGTCCGTGTGTAACACCATCTCTCTCCATTTTTCACTCTCTCACAGCTCACACGTGCCCTGCCATGTATGCATGTTTGCCCTCCAAGACTATGCATACATGAAACCACACGTTCAAAAAGCATGCCTCTTGAAACAAAGCAATAACTTTTTTTTCATTTGTTTTGCCTAATCTTTGTGCAGTGAGGACGTTTTGTTTCAGATGCAGCGCTCTAGCTGTAAATCCGCTTGCCCCATAGTAAAGTAGAAACCATCCAAAGTTCTGTTTCTGTCTCTTTTTTCCACTTTTACGTTGTTATCTTATTGTGTAACGATTCTCTTATTTTTCTCCCCACTCTCGTACTTTCCCAGGTGTGTTTTAGGTGTTGTGTGTAGCATACGTGTATTCTTGTCCCTCTCTTTTATTTTTCAATTTCTTTTCTTACTGTTTTTGGGTTTTTTTTATCCCCAAGTTTCCTCTCAGAATGCGCCTAACTCGCCTCTCTCTGCCGTGATTGGTTGATCAGGTCGTCGGGAGAGACGAGGAGCAGGGAGATGCTGGAGCTGAACATGAGCAACATCAGCGCCGACGTGCTGGAGCTGCTGCTCGAGTTTGTCTACACGGGGTCGCTGGTCATCGACTCGGCCAATGCCAAGACGTTGCTGGAAGCTGCCAACAAGTTCCAGTTCAACACCTTCTGTAAAGTCTGTGTCTCCTTTCTAGGTAGGCGTAGCTCAGGGGAAGAGCGGCGGGGGTGGGTGGGGAGGGGTGTATGTGTTTACACGAGTGTTATCTGCTTATATCAGCAGCGCGTGCACGCTTATTACATCAGATATGCCTGCCGCGACCATACGGCCCTGGGTGTTTTCATATACGGTCATGCTTCATCGCTGTGCACAGAAGTCCTCATGCAGCACCTACATTTCCTCCCCGGCCCTGGCACACCGCTCTCCCATTTTTGTCATGTTTCCAAAGCTCGCAGCCGTGTTAGAATTCACTCTCAGCCGGGCACGGTGCCTCTGATCTCGTCCCAGAGAGCAGGATCAAGCACGGGGGCAGATTTATAAAAAGGTCAGGGAACAATTGTCACTTAAATGTCAAATCCTCTGGTCTGAGCCGCGATGGAATCGAAAAACAGCCAAACAGATTGATACTTAGACAAGGTATGGAAAAGAGGTGGATATGAGGGGAGTGGGCCTGTTGGGGGTGGAACCCAAAGGATGGGGGGAGGGGTCTGCATGAAAAGCAAATGGCATGTTCCATATTTTAGTGGGTCGGCCAGCCAAAAAAGCCGCAAAGGTCAAGTTTTGCATTCCATTTAATAAATAGTTTTGGGTATCGGTAACACGGGGGAAGTGCATGTTAGCAAAAAGGTCAGCAGCAGGAAAGGAGGGGAAAATTGTAAGAGGAGCAGCAAGCGCCGTTATTGATTTGTTTTTCTCAATTTGGGAGGGGGGGGAGGGTTAAAAATGGGAAAAACACAGAAGCCATTTGTAGACTTCATCGCCAGCGAGGCGTCAATCCGTTCTTCCTCGACAAGATTCATGACATTTCAGCGCTTGAGAAGTAACGGGCACGACCGTGTCTCCTTGAGCAAAGAGGAATTGATACCGCGTGAGAAATTATTGAAGTTTGCAACAAATATACCGAGGAGGAACGGCAGACATCTTCTCCGACCTACTTACGCTTCACGCGTCTTCTCTCTCCAACAAATACAAAACAAAGTCATTCATCGTGCGCCTTGTGAGAAATCCCAGCTTTTTTTGTTTTATGATTGGAAAATCAAAAAGTAAATGAACAAAACATGCTCACCTTTTTACAACCCGAGTGTGTAGTATTGGAAAAAATGATTTCTTTTTTAAAGGGTTGTTCAGATGATCATCTGCTGTGAAATATACTTTCAGACAGAGTCTAGCTTTGATGCAGCCCAAACCTGCTTTTTTTTTTAGCTTGGCTTTTGCTCACCTGTTATTTACCAGATGTTGGGTGGCTTTTTTATTGGCTGATATTTGTTTAGGAGACACTCTCAGGCTCTGTCTTTAGCGATAAAAGGCCTGGCTTTGCTTCGCTTTGATGGCTGTTGTTTAATCGGGCGCCTTTCAGCGGCCACTCAACCGTTTGTGCCCGCATCCGTGCGTACGTTCACTACAAGACCGGGGGCATTTCCCTCTCTTGTGATAAATGGTGACACTTGTTAGAAAACTACATTTGGAGACACATCACCTAAAATGCCGCCCGTGCTCTCCACCCCCCAAACCCCGCCCTGCAAAAGATCACAGGCGGCAGTATAAGCCTTCTCCCCGCTGGCCTGGCCCTGAGGGTAGTTTCATATATTCCAGGCTGTGTATGTGTGTGTGTGCATGTGTGTGCATGTGTGTAGTAGATCCTGAGATCTGACAGGACTTCTTTAAAGTGGCTCAGCTAATCCCAAATCCCGCTCCCTGCCATCCACCACCTCATGCCTGGGCTGTGAGCGATCGATTCCCCTCGTTGTTTGTCCCCGGAGCTGTTTTGAGTTATTATACTTGTTCTCCCTCAGTCTCAGGCAGATACAAAGCCCAGGCTATGGCTCTGTGCTACCTGCAGCTGCTTTCTCTGTCTTTGCAGCTTTGTACGTCTGCAGTCTTTTTATAGATGACTGAATGGTGTTTTGTTTTTCTCCCCCCCTCCCCACTGGCTGTCTTAATCAATCTGCCTCTGTCTTTTGTTTCCTTCTCGTTTTTGTTTCTAACCTCTTCTCTTTGTCTATCTCCCTGTCTCTCTTTCTCTCTCTGACCTGCTTTACATTGACTCCAGAGAAACAGCTGACTGCCGCTAACTGTCTGGGAGTGCTGGCTATGGCCGAGGCCATGAGCTGCACCGAGCTCCACAACATGGCCAAAGCGTTTGCCCTGCAGAATTTCCCAGAGGTAGGTCGAGGCTCTTCGTCTTTCTGGATTCTTTGATTGCTGTGGAGCAAAGTTACACACGGCGGTTTGCATCTGAGAGAAAATGAAACACCTAAATCAGTAAATCGGAAAAAAGGAAAAAACTTGTTTTGCCTAAGCATCTTTTTTTGTCAGACTCAACAATGCAATGGGGAAAATTGCACTTTCTTCTACACTAAATTAAGTCTGTAGTTACTAGATTCCTATTAAAGTCTCACATGTAAAGCATACACAAAGCTTATTGAATTATATGTTTTTGTCTTCCTTTTTTTCAAGCTAGCAAATATCAAATGGCCCTGTTAATTCACTGCTTGCATTAAAATGCTTCTCTGGAGTTAACCGTTTTTACCTCATGGGATGCAATTTACTGTAGAAGCTCCACGTACCCTACTGAATCACCCAACAGTACACTTATTACCGAGCAGCTTTTAGATAACTTAATGGAAGAGAAATACAGAGAGCTCTCAGTTTTCTTATAGTTTCCAACCAGCATGAATCACATAAAATAGCGTGGAAAATAAGGGCATCAAAGCTCAGCATCAGAAAGTGTTGGAAAAATACTTTTTTATGTCGAGCGTTACTCGGTAGGAAAAACGTCTCTCTCCACAGATCAGAAAAAATTAATCCATTATGTTCTGCCTTTGATGTGAGGCGTCCAGGCTGGTCACAGAAAAGTCCACTGTAAATCTGAAATCAACACCTATTTACTACAAAGAGCTCGAAATTAGCCTGTTTTATATGTCTTAGTATTTTTATACAGCATGTAGGAGAATAAAAATGTCCACTCATTATCTTGTTTTTTACGTTTCTGTTTTTATGTGAATCACACAGTCGAGAAAAGCCTGAAATCAGGTAAAAGCAGCAAACAAATGTTACTGTTGTCAGTGAAAGAAAATAAGTACATAATGAAACCGCGGTGATGCAAAATCAAATGAAATGTACTTTCCATTCTCTTTCAAGATTTACTGTGCAGATGTCTTTGAACTGCCTTAGCTGGGCTTTCTTGTCATTTCTTTAAGCGGTCTTCAGGAATAGTTCTCCAGGCTTCTTGATGGACATTCAAAGCTCTTTTTTGGATGTTGGCTGGATGTTTGTTCTGTTCTCTGTCAGGATGATCCCGCACTGCTTCAGTAAAGTTCAGGTCCGGGCTCCGGGGAGGCCAATCCATGACTGATAGTGTGCTGTTGTGTGCTTTTCTATCCAGCTACAGTGGGGCAAAAAAGTATTTAGTCAGCCACCGATTGTGCAAGTTCCCCCACTTAAAATGATGACAGAGGTCAGTAATTTGCACCAGAGGTACACTTCAACTGTGAGAGACAGAATGTGAAAAAAAAATCCATGAATCCACATGGTAGGATTTGTAAAGAATTTATTCGTAAATCAGGGTGGAAAATAAGTATTTGGTCACCTCAAACAAGGAAAATCTCTGGCTCTCACAGACCTGTAACGTCTTCTGTAAGAAGCTTTTCTGTCCCCCACTCGTTACCTGTATGAATGGCACCTGTTTGAACTCATCATCTGTATAAAAGACACCTGTCCACAGCCTCAAACAGTCAGACTCCAAACTCCGCCATGGCCAAGACCAAAGAGCTTTCGAAGGACACCAGGAAAAGTATTGTAGACCTGCACCAGACTGGGAAGAGTGAATCTACAATAGGCAAGCAGCTTGGTGTGAAAAAATCAACTGTGGGAGCAATCATCAGAAAATGGAAGACATACAAGACCACTGATAATCTCCCTCGATCTGGGGCTCCACGCAAGATCTCATCCCGTGGGGTCAAAATGATCATGAGAACGGTGAGCAAAGATCCCAGAACCACACGGGGGGACCTGGTGAATGACCTGCAGAGAGCTGGGACCAAAGTAACAAAGGTCACCATCAGTAACACACTACAACGGCAGGGAATCAAATCCCGCAGTGCCAGACGTGTTCCGCTGCTGAAGCCAGTGCATGTCCAGGCCCGTCTGAAGTTTGCCAGAGAGCACATGGATGATACAGCAGAGGATTGGGAGAATGTCATGTGGTCAGATGAAACCAAAGTAGAACTTTTTGGTATAAACTCAACTCGTCGTGTTTGGAGGAAGAAGAATACTGAGTTGCATCCCAAGAACACCATACCTACTGTGAAGCATGGGGGTGGAAACATCATGCTATGGGGCTGTTTTTCTGCCAAGGGGACAGGACGACTGATCCGTGTTAAGGACAGAATGAATGGGGCCATGTATCGTGAGATTTTGAGCCAAAACCTCCTTCCATCAGTGAGAACTTTGAAGATGAAACGAGGCTGGGTCTTCCAACATGACAATGATCCAAAACACACCGCCCGGGCAACAAAGGAGTGGCTCCGTAAGAAGCATTTGAAAGTCCTGGAGTGGCCTAGCCAGTCTCCAGACCTCAACCCCATAGAAAATCTGTGGCGGGAGTTGAAAGTCCGTGTTGCTCGGCGACAGCCCCAAAACATCACTGCTCTCGAGAAGATCTGCATGGAGGAATGGGCCAAAATACCAGCTACTGTGTGTGCAAACCTGGTAAAGACCTATAGTAAACGTTTGACCTCTGTTATTGCCAACAAAGGTTATGTTACAAAGTATTGAGTTGTATTTTTGTTATTGACCAAATACTTATTTTCCACCCTGATTTACGAATAAATTCTTTACAAATCCTACCATGTGGATTCATGGATTTTTTTTTTCACATTCTGTCTCTCACAGTTGAAGTGTACCTCTGGTGCAAATTACTGACCTCTGTCATCATTTTAGGTGGGGGAACTTGCACAATCGGTGGCTGACTAAATACTTTTTTGCCCCACTGTATCTTACGCACTGACAGAGTTTTGGTGTGATAGTCACGCTGAAAAATAAAGTTACTGCCAATCAAAAGCTTTCCAGATGATACTGAATATTAGATCAAAACCTGACAGCACTTTCCTGTTTTCGTTCATGCATTCATTTTAACAGCCCCAAACCATGACAGAGCCTCCACCGTGTTTTACACATGGCTGCAGACACTCACCGTTGTATCTCTCTCATGACCTCCTCTGTACATATTAACAATAAATTGAACCAAAAATGTTTCCCTTCATTAAGAATGGCTTTTTGACAGCCATCCTCCCACTGAGATCATTTCTGGTAAGGCTTCAGCGAACAGGAGATGGATCAGCAACACGTGCTCACTCCCAAAGCGTAACAATTTATGCTAGGTGACAAATCGTCAGTATGTTAAGCTTCCGGCCACACACCATATTACGAGTTTGGAAAAATGAGGAAACATGAGAAGCTTTTGAAATTAATCTACACATGTACGTTAATTTAATCTGTTTGGAAAACACTATCTAACATGATTAAGGTGGTGGTTAAGATTAGGGATAAGAACGGGATGGGATCAGCTGAATGGCCAGATGCATCAATCAGGTCCTGTGTCAGATCTTTGCTGCATTTTTTCCCTGTTTCTTAAAAACGTGACTTTCAGTTAGCGTTCATCAGCTGTAGATATTCTTAGGTCAGGCTTTTCTGCTTTTTTCCCTCCGTTTTCCCAGTTTCGTCAATTATTTGTAACTTCAGAGATGTGCCAAGATTTTGGCTAATAGCTGTTTAGGAAGGTGCATAAACACAATTGCATCCTGGTCACACCGGGCTGTCGTTTTTCATATATTGAACTAAAGAAATGAAATAGAAGAAATGGTGTATTTTTGGGACAGGCTGCTAGTAATAAAATGCCTAAAAGTTGTCTGTTATATGTAGACACAACCCTGTGTTAGGTGTCCTTTTTTATTCTTGAATGAATCACAGGTCAGTGATAGGTGACTTTACAAATACTGGAGTGTAAATGAGGGGAAAAAGCAGCCAAGTTCAAAGAAAAACTTTGAAAGACGTTCAGAAATCCTGGAGAACTATTGCTCAGTTCCACCCTAAAAATGACAACAAAGCCTGGCTCATTGGAAGCAAAATATAAAGAAACATCTAGAGGCTCAAGACTTTTGCACTTACTCTACGTGAGAGAAATACACTTTTTTTTCCCTTAAATGCTACGGCCACATGATGTGAAGTTTTAAAGGCCGTTTTTCTGCCCCTGCTGGTCTCTGCGCTGGTTCCAAAGAGGCCTTTGTTTTAGTTTTATGCTAGACAGATCTGAACATCTGCCTCTGCTCAAAAACAGGAGCTTCACTCTACAGAATTGTGTATGTTCAGAGCTTGGCACAGGAAAAGTCAGATTGTGTCGCTGAAAGTCAAAAGTTTTTTAGCGATTGAACCTTTTTTTTCAGGTGGCAGGGCAGGAAGAGATCCTCAGCGTCTCCAAGGACGACCTGATAGCCTATCTGTCCAACGACAGCCTGAACACAAAGGCCGAGGAGCTGGTCTACGAGACCGTCATCAAGTGGATCAAACAAGACCCCAACTCTAGAGTACAGGTAACGACGCACAAAGTTAACGAGGGTGTTTTTGGAGTGTGCGAAACTTTGTTCTTCCAACACGAGCACACACTTCCTGCACCACGAGACTAAAAGGCAGCCAGTTCTCGTTACATCTGGCAGAACAGTTTCCGCATGCGTGCCGAGCCGTGTTAGAGATCGGCCCACCTCTTCCTCTCTTCGCAGAAGTGCACGGCACCAAAAGCCACACAAGTGACTCCCCGTTTTCTCCCGCTAGCGCTCATCAACTTTGTGCTTCGGATCCAGCCTAACGCAGCAGTTGTTCGTAATCCCAGGAGTGCTTTGCCCTCAGAATGCGCTCTATTCTTAGTTACACTTCATTTGTTTGTGAGACACTGTACCGCATGAAAAGCCTAACAAAAACAGCAGACAGCCGCAGCCCTCTCTGCGCACGCCTAACAGGTGTTTGATTTATTCCTAGAGGCTGTTAATCATAATCAGAGGTTATATCCCCGAGATGGGTATTGACAGTCAGGTGCAAGCAGGTCGAATTTTAACAGGCACAGAATCGATAAGCCTCAAGGTCAAAGCATCAAACGCCCGCCACATATACGGAAAGGTAAACGGACTGCGCTGTAGACGGATATCCATTCAGCAAGGGGGGGGGAGAAAAAAAACCTCAGGTTGTGCGATATTTATGGACTGGGTCCCAAAACCATGAATTTAAAGCTGATGATTTTAAAGTATTTTATAGCTGTTTTAAAATGGAGAAAAGATTGTTATCAGATAAATTACACCAGTCCATCACGGCAAGAATCACTCCTTCAAAGTAATGTCTTCTCACCAACCAGCAAGTGCAGGGAAAGGCCCTATATCACCCGGATCAGATTTGGTGCAGACCTCAGCAATCAATGTTTCTTTATTGGCTCCTGCCTTTATGAGGCACATATGTCAATATTTGAATTTTTCACCTTTTCAGATTAAACATTTAGCGTTTATCCTTTGATATGTGGCGCTGTAGTGATTTGGGGCAAATCCATCAGACTTTTTTGTTGTTGTTTTTTTGCAGTGGAGAACCTTAAAGTATTTAGTGCTACACAAAAGGGTAAGGAGAAACTTTTAAAGCACAGATCGTGATGGGTGCCGGAAAATGAGAAAGCAACAGTATGAAAGATGCTTTTTTTTGGCATCGCTCTCAATCTCTCCCACTGATAAAGCCTTTAAAATTGAATTTTTGTAACATCGCTGATAGAAAGGTTGAAAATTCACCAATAACCATAACAAGGCTGGTACACAGTTTTTAGGAGAAGCGTACGATCCCTGTCATCTGTGTCGAAAACCTCTAGCAGGCTCAGTCCGGCCAACTTCTCCAATCTCACACTCTATTGGAGAGGTGCAGAGGTGACTTACTCAGATGAAGTAGAAGAAATTTTGCCGGTTGTCTGAACAACCCGCCGCACTGGTTCCTGAGACGAGGCACCCGGGGTCACCCCCCGTCTTCACGGGGAGACGGGAGAGAGTCGGCGTGGAGGAGAGGGGGAGGAACCGCGAGCGAGGGAAAGAATCAGAGCGAAGCAGAAAGACAGAAACGAGCGAGAAACGTGTTGGCGAGAAAAGAAGAAAGTGGATTGGAAAAGGAGCCCCTGTGTTCTAATCTGATATCCAACGGTTTGCGCCTCTGCACACAGCCATGACATCCAGGGAGCCGAGATGTGATTGAGCTCACGGTCAAGCTCAAATCTCTTGCCCGCGTGTAACCAAAGAGAGAGAAAAGAAATAAAAAAAGACAGCTAGCAAACCCCGGTGTCTGCGGCGAGGACAGGAGCATACGGAGAGAAGCGCGTCACATGATCTGCACATGCCGACAAAGATCTCAAGCCATTTATATGCATGTAAGAAAGTTTTAGGAATCCACACGTTTCACAGTCTGAGTAAATAGTTAATATTTTACTTGCATACAGATCTCGCCCCACTGTGAAATTACACATGCATGCACTGAAAGTCCCAGTTTTCCACCGGCACAGGATGTGGGTGGAGCAGAGAGGCCCGCTCGCTAATGTGACCTGATTCATTTATCAGCGCGTGAATAAATGCAAGTGAATGTTAAGATTGTGTATGTAAAATATTAATATTTATTCACGCTGCGATGTACACATTTGCATAGCAGTTTGATCTTCTCCAGTTGGTACATGTGTGTTTGGATTGCAGTAAGTGCTCAAGTGCACACATTTGTGAATCTTATTTCCCTTTTTTTTTCTTCCTGTCGCACACTTGTGACCAATTTGAGAGTGAAAGAAAAAAGAGAATAGGCTTCTTGTTTTATGCCACAAGAGAAGGTTGGATTCATACCCAGTTCGGCTCCACTTTTTAATGACATGTCAGGGCAGGATGTAACAGAAAAAAAACGCTCGCATTCATCCGAGCATGCGTCGGTTCTGTGCGGCTTTGCGGGTTTTTGTGTGTCTGTGCATGTGCTGCGAGTTGTAAGCTGCAGGCTATAGAGTGGAAAAGTGGCATATTGAAGGCACTGGGTAAATAATATGCAATTTTCTCTCTCCACTATGCTGTCACTAACAACCGATGGCACCGGGAAACGGGGGACCCGGACATCACTTAGAGACAGAGGGAGAGCATTTGAGCGTTAATAATGGTTTGCTATTGAGACACAAAGCTGCTGAATGAAAGTACAGAACTGTTTCGGTTCTCTTTGAATGGGTATCATCGAAGGTGTGCCACCCTTCAAACGTCTGTATGTGTCTGTCTTTACAACTTAAGTGAAAGGGGAGTTAGGGAGGCTTCAAAAGAAAAAAAGGAAATACCCTTTTTGGAAGAACGTATTCCTGAAGCGACTGTTATTTGACAGAAAACACAGCTATAGCTGATTAAAGAGGACCTGTTATGCACTTTTGCTGCTCCAAGTTCTTCTTCTTGGACCTAATTAGAGGAACTTTGCACAAGTCAGAGTTCAAAATAATCATTACTTACGTTATGCTGGCCTTTGATGTAGCCACCCTCCCTTCAAGCCTTCAAGCTCACCTTAAAGTCTTGTTATTAGGCTGCCCATTGTACCCAACAGCTAAACACAGTTTTGTGCTTACAGCCAGAATTCTGTGCCTGAAATGACCATATTATAGAGATCTGCTGTCTGTAATGTCATATGACACCAAACATTTACAGCAGTCTGAAGCTTGAGCCTTTTTCTCTTACGTATACGTGCTTATGTTGGTATTTGAACCTTCGGCTGCGTTTGATTTGAGCATTCACCATTTTTACAGTATAATTCATGTGACATATACGACATGTACACTGAACTTTATTTGGTGTACCTTGCTACTACCAGGTTGGACCCCCCCATTTGATTTCAGATCTGCCTTACATTTTTGTGGCACAGATATATCACGGTGTTACACAGTTGCTGCAGATTTGTCACCCTTCATGGGAATTTTCCATCCCACCGCATCCCAGAGGTGCTCAACTGGATTCAGATGTGGTGATTATGGAGGCCATTTGAGTGCAGTGAGCTCACTGTGGGGAGGCTTTGGCTCAGGAGGAAGATCAGGTCATCTACTAATAGGAAGGTTCGATCTCTGGCTGCATAACAAAAAATATCCTTGGGCAAGATGCTAACCCCAAGTTGCTCTCTGATACATCCATCAGAGTATGAATGTGTGTGATAAAGACAGAGAGCAGTTAAGTAGAAAAAGCATAGAAGAAAGTGCTAGTTTGAGAAGATTTGAGCTTTGTCACATGTCACGTGCTGGACATGGTTGATAAGAACTCTGAAGTAGGCTGTGATGTTCAAATGATGCTCCGTTGGTACAAACGGGCTCAAAGTCAGCCAATAAAATATCCCCCACTTCATTACATCACCAGCAGCACTCTAAACTATTGATACAAGGCAGCATGGATCCTTGCACCATACCATGTGAATGTCTCAGCAGGAATCAAGACTAATTAGATGGGACAACATTTTTCTACACCTCCACCTCCAAATCTGAGGCCATGGTCATCAGCTGGAAAAGGAGGGTGGAGGGTGGAGTGCCCACTCCGGGTCAGGGACAAGTTCTTGCCCCAAGTGGAGGAGTTTAAGTGGAGGAGATCGACAGACTGCGTCCGCTGTACCGGTCTGTTGAGGTGAAGAGAGAGCTGAGTGTAAAAGCAAAGCTCTCAATTTACTGGTCGATCTACGTCCCTACCCTCACCTATGGTCACGAGCTGTGGGTAGTGGGCTTCCTCCTTATCTCCTTAGAGATAAGGTAAGAAGTTCGGCCATCCGGGAGGGGCTCAGAGTAGAGCCGCTGCTCCTCCACATCGAAAGGAGCCAGCTGAGGTGGTTCGGGCATCTGACGAGGATGCCTCCTGGGCGCCTCCTGGGTGAGGTGTTCAAGCCATGTCCCACCGGGAGGTGGCTGGGGAGAGGGAGTTCTGGACTTCTCTGCTTAGGCTGCTGTCCCTGCGACCCAGCACCGGATAAGCGGAAGAAGATGGATGAATGGATGGTTTCCTATCCTTTGCTGACAGGACTGTCACCTGGTGTGGCTGCTGCTTTAGCCCACATGCTTCATTAGCAGAAATGCTCTTCTTCATACCTTTGTTATTTGAGTTGCCTTCCTATAACCTCAAAGCATTCTGGCCATTGTCCTCTGACCTCTTAGAAGGTATTTTCATCCAGAGAACTGCTGCTCACTGGATGTTTTTTCATCTTGGGATCATTCTGTGTAAACCCTAAAGATGGTTGTGTGGGGAAACTCCCAGTAGAGTATGTCTACATGCCTAAATGCACTGAATTATTGATATATGATTGGCTGATTAGCTTAGGCAGATGCATTAACAAGGTGTATCTAATAAAGTGGTTCGTGTGTGTCTGTCCCCTTTTTTATTTTATATGCCAGTCAGTGAATCCAAGAATAACCTGTATATTAATATGTGATTCAGGGGTGAACATGGTCATTGTAGCCTGAAAACAAGCCTTACACAAACGTGCGCGTGCATACAAACATGGAGTTTTTTATGTGCAAACTGAGTAGTCTAATCTCACG